AAGGTTTTATAATTGTTTTATCAAAGCAGTTTCTCATGCTTAAAGTCTCAATGAGTTGTCTGAGTATTTAAGAAAATGAGATCTTAATATTAAAAGGACTAAAAGCTAAACTTTGCTAACGACTGTGTAACCTTCTGTATTTGCCTTTAAGGTATTTTGTTGTCATTCTGGTTAAATGGATAAGTATTGCTTCATGGCAACCTATAATCTTATTTAAGCAAGTGCCAAAGAAACTTCCTTCTGACAGTGTCCCAGAATCAAATTCAAAAAAGTGCTTTTACATCTAGTTAACTGATATTTTCCAGACGGCCCCTGGAACATGTCAGAGGAATTTTTTCTCCTCATCAGGGAAAATATTTGGCTAATTTGGCTTATTTATCTGATACATATTTACCTGGAAAGCACTGTCAAAGGGAATGATGCTAAACTTTGTTACTGAATGTTTTGTGTTATAAAAATATCCAAATTTCCTTATGTCAACTGTCTTATAGTAAGCTCTCATCAGATCTTTAACCATTGTCGTTTGTAAGTGTTTTGTCATTTATAGTCACTGTTTTATTACTCCTAACCTAGTAAAGAATTAGATTTCAGCAGAACAGGTATTGGTTACATGGGATTAAGTAAACTAAGGAAGATGATTTTGTGGCTTTTTGTTTCAAATGTTGCTGATACGCTGACAACAGTTTAGTAAATGACTATCTTTATAAGCAGAATTGAAACTTTATCTTTCTACCTGATCCCTCCAGAATTTAAAAACTCTCAGTGACTATTTTTATATTTCATGGCAGTATGTTTATTTGCATAAGTTCAGTAAGAATCTGCTTTCCTTGTAAGAGGACCAATTAAAAACACAGCTTGTATTACCAAGGCTTTGACTGGAATGTTATACCTGAAAGACGTGTGTAAACTCAGATATGAACAGAAAGCTTTAAGGAACTAAGGTTGACTTTATAAAGCCAACAAAGACCCTTGGAAGAACTGGCCTGGTACCTTGCTCACAGGGTTCCCAGCAGCCTTCCAGGTGAGTAAGGAAGGTCACTTCCTGGCAGGGGCAGGAACCTCAGGATGTCTTGGGGACCTCGAGAAGAGAGGAATTCACTCAAATCTACAGGTACTGCAGGCAAAACCTGATGGCAAGTCTGACTTCACTTTCTGGCCTCAAGAGTCCTTTAAAAGTTCCATCTGAAATTCCTTGTGAAAAGTGCCAGTAAAGCCCATTTTAAAAAGCCTATGTAACCGATGGCTCCTCTTGATGCATTTATGCAAATAATCAAGCTAAGTGTTAATTATTTTCTAGAGGAAAGTATCGTTTCAATCACACCGCCTTTATCTGTACTACATCCTACTACCAGTCACTGGGACAGAAACTGAATTCAGAATTCTAGTTTCCCCAAAATATATGGTGATAATTCTCCAGACGTGTTAGTTTTTTCCCATCATTTCAATTAAAGTTTTACTATTTCTAGTTCTCATATTCAACAATGCATGCTTAATTTCATCAAGTTTGTCCTTCCAGAATGGAAAATCCAACTCCAGATGTTGCTACTTAACCTAATAACACAATTGGTTCTATCTTGCCTAGAAGCCACAAAACTGCAAATAGTAATAGAAATGGAACCTAGAATAGAAGGGCCCATCTTCTGAGACCCTCTCAAGTGACCACTGATGGAAACCTAACTGCACCCTTTACTGCACCCCTTCTCAGCATGAAGCAGCCAGAGCGGTCGTCATCACCCCCTTTCCATAGCAGCAGCTAGGGTCTCCATCTGTAGAGGGGGGAATGAGACAGGGACCGTGGGCTTAGACAGGGTAGGGTGAGGGCCTCCGGAGAAAGCAAGGCAAGACATTCACGGTCAAAGCAATGTAACAATCCGTGTAAAGTCCCTATCGAAACTCTGTGTTCAGCGGTATGCAGAGTCGAGGTCACACTAATTGTGTAGGGTCGAGACACTAGACTAGGAATGTAGACATCTTCAGTGAGATCAGTTCAAGGTCAGAAGGCCAGGAGCAGCTTGGCCTGGAATGTTTGAGTGTTCCCCAAGGGTATCTCAGCATAACCCTGACTTCACTGTAAACAGGCCTAGCAAACACACAACAACCCAGCCCACCTTGAGGGTGGGGCATGTGGTACAAGTCCACACCCTAAGCCCTCAGTTCCCAAAAATCCTGACCGCCTATAAATCCCCTAGAAAATGCACCACCCTGGGCTCTCTTCTCCCCTCCAGGAGTGAGCCAGGAGCTCTTTTCTTTCACTTTATTTATAAATAAAAGCCTCTCCCTGACTCTTCTGCCTTGGGTGTTTGTGAAGCTCATTCTTCGATTTTGCAAACAAGAAACCTGGCATCAATGCCTTCTCAGGGAAGACCAGCTCTTCTTGGTGTGAAATTTCAAACGCAATGTCTCAGGAGGTTTTCTGCACTGCCTTGTAAATTACCTGAGACCTTATTATGCTTTACCATGGGTTTCCTAAGCTTTAGAACCACTCGTCTCGCAATTGGGACTGGGACAAATTACTGCAGGTGAGTGACCCAGATCTCTACACTTCAGCTCAAGTAGGATCTGCAGCAATGACTAGTCTACAATTCATCAGATCCTTTCAGATGAGCTTTCCCTAATACATTCACTGTAAATTCACCCGGAGGATATTTACGTTATGGCCTGACTTTGTTCTCCTCAGTTCTTGTCTCTGCCAAAACAAAGAACTGAAAGGCGGAGACCATAGCGAAGTGGAGGGTAAATTTTACTTTAAAACACTCGAAGGGAGGAGCGGGCCAGAGTCAAGGTAGACAAAGGCCCTGCATTTTCAGGAGCAGCGTCTACTTATCATGACCCAGCTGGGAGGCGCCTCTTGTACAGGGTGAGGTCACTTGATTAACGGCTCTAGTTATACACCCATTCCTCTTGGTGTGCGTGTCTTTTCCCAGAAGGCACACAGAAAAGCCCATGGGGGTGTGGGGAGCAGAACCCCAATTTTATTTTAATGGGATGATGATGAGGTGTGGCTTGGGTGGTTCTTAGTTTTGTTTGATTGTGCCTGTGGTGGGACCTCGTTGGAACCGGTTTGGCCTGATCCCCATAGGCAAAGAACTTAGCTCCCTGCAAGCCTTTGTTGTCTTCACATGGGACCCTCTTATCTGGGCGGTTTTTCCCTTGAACTTTATCTGCCCCTTCCCTGGATGCTCTTGTCTATCTGTCTACCTAGCATGTAGACTCGCCACTTGCACCCCCAAGGAACTGTTTTTATTTGTATTTTAGGCAGAAGCTTTAGATGGAGGACAGATTTAAGCAAAAGTATAGATATATTTTTAGATGAAATAGCTGACTCCAAAAGACTGCTTTTTCCTTTTCCAAACACAATTCAGGCCCTCGAAGGCTAGCAACCCTGCTCTTCCTTCAAGGCCAAGATCACCTTTCAGGGCTATTAGCCCATGAAATAAACAGCCCTGGTGAGACTGTGCTACTGGTGTGCTTTCCCAGCCACAATCCCAGGGCACGTCACCTAATCTGCATATGCCAACACGAGTTTCCAGGGAAGCTGCCAAAATAAGCTCCTGTCCTCCCTCACCTTTACTTTAATCCCCACATAGGTTTGCTTTTACCATATGGTAATTATTTCCAAATCACAAGTGCAAACACTCACTCTGATTGGAAAATTAGCAGATTTCAAACTCAGGTAATTTGTCCCTAATGAGGAACTTGTTGAACTGAATTTAACAATTAACTCCAACACCCCTTGCTGCCAGCGGCTGTGGGAGTGAAGGTGGGGGTGGGGAGGCAAGGGCAGGCTGAGGGCCAGGGTGAGCAGGACTCACTCCCAGGCAAGCTGAAGGTTGGGTGGGGCAAGGTGCAATGGGGCTGGAGGAACAGGAACTTGACTCTTCAGATGCAGATGTAGCCAACTACACATTCCTATCAAGGAAACCTGGAGTGATAGGAGCCTCCAGGTAGCCACCACCCACGCCCACAAACACCAAGTCGTGGCTGCTCTGCTTCCTCTGTGCTGAAGAGCTAGAGGCCGAGAAAATGGACAGGAAGGAAGGTTGGAAGAGCAAGAGGTGGGCTTCCTCTCCCCCATTCCCTCGGGCTCCCAGCTTCTTGGGGACCGGGAGGAACAGGTGCGTTTTGATTAACTGCTGGGATGGTCAGTGTCTTCATTGGCGTTTGAAATATGGCAGGGCAGAGCCTGTCAAAGGGCTGAGCCTTGTTTTTCTATGACTACCCCCCGCCTCCCTCCAGAGCTGGGGCCACTTGCTCCCTACCCGCAGCTCCTGGCCAGGCGCCCGAAGGCTCAGGGATTTCTGGGAGGTATGGCCTTGCATGTGAATCCGTGTCATCACTCCCACTCCAAATGCGCGCATTGCCGACTGGCTCCTGCCTAATGTCACAAAGGGCCCCCCGTTCATACCTGAGGCTCTGTCTCTGTGGTCTGCTCTGCCCCTCCTTCCCTCAAGACCTGCGATGTCCAACACCATCGCCACTACTGACCACCTGAAATGTGGCTAGTAAGACTGAGGAACTAATTCTTATTTGATGTTAACTCATCTAAGTCCAAAAACTGATTCGTGATTCAATTGGAAAACTTATTACTATGTTTAGAAGGTGAATCTACATTTCTTTCAACTGTAGATTTTATAAAAATCTAAATACAGATCAGGTATCTCTGATGAAAAGTTACCATCCAAATTGAGACAGGCTGTGTCTGGATTTTGAAATTTAGTAAAAAAAATAAAACAAAAACATCTCATTAAGAATTTTAAGGTACTGATTACCTGTGGAAATGATAATCTTTTGGATATATTGGGGCTAATAAATTACTGTAAGTAGTTTCTCCTGTTTCTCTTACTTACTAAAATATGACTACAAATATCTAAAATTCCATATGGGACCCACGTTATACTTGTATTGGGCAGTGCTGACAGGAGCTAGACTTCTCCCTTCACTTGCAAATGTCTTCAAGGAATATAATCCCGTTCCCAAATTCCCACCCTGCCACAGGGGCCCCAGTTCTGCCAGACATGTCCTGCTGTACTGGATTTTTTTGAGTGTTCATCTTCTGCACCACTCTCTCTGCTCCCTGCTGGAATATTACAAGGCCCTGCCTTTGCATAGCAATGTCATATCGATGATCAGCCTTGAAGTGTAAAGGCACACCCTGCACAGAACTAATTTCTGACCAAGTACGGATTTGACCTGGTACAAGGAAGAGCCTCAAGGTTCTCAGCAATCAAACATGAATGAAAAATTTATTCACAAACATAACCAGTTAATATCCTCAAAAGTGAGCCTGCATCAAATTACCAGCCTTGCTGGGGATCATTAGGAGGAAATAAACAAGACCGCCACATGGCACTCTGAACAGAGCTGAATGGATTTGCGTGCCTGGGAAGGGAGCACCGCATTACTCAAGCACAAGCTGAGCCTCTGTCTCCATGCAGTCCTGGAAAGGACCACAGAAAGGGCAAAACGGAGACAGTACATCAAGTCTGGTGAGATTCTGAGTTCAGGTGTCTGCTTGGTTGTCAAGGCCGAGTGGAAACTCTTCTTTGCAACCGGTTACTGTGCTGGTTCACATCTTCAAAGTGCCGGCTTCACAAAGCTGCAATGGGCTCAGCGTCACTCAGATGGCCTAGCTGACAGGTCTGCTTGAAGTTGGATGAAATCTTCCCTTAACAGGATCGGTGGCGCATCAGGGCGGCTGGGCTAATGGATTAAAACTCCCCTGTTGAGTCGTGGCTCATCTCTTTTGCTACCGCCAGAATAAATTTCCTTTGTCGACATTGTCGTTGTTAGGGTAAAAGGTGAAAAACAAAGTTTAGGCAGATGGGTTGCCCTTCAAAGAGCAAAAAATTTAACAGGCACTCAGAGAAAAATACTTACACACAAACAGTCATAAAAACACTATTCACAGTAGCTTAAAGGTGGAAACCACCGAAATGGACATCACTGGGTGAATGGTTAAACACTAAGTGATTTCATGAAGGGAGAAGAGAAGTGATTTCAAAAAGGGAGTCACTTTTTGTGCTTTTATGAAAGGTTAAGTGATTTTATAAAGGGAGAAAAGAAGAGGTCCCAGAAATACCTGTTTTCAAGAGCAGAGGTGGCTGCCCAGAGGCAGCACTGGGCCTGAGTGAGGCAGTGGGCCCAGGCATCTACAGGTCAGCTGTGACCCCATCATTTTGAGGTATTTTTAATTTTTTTTCACAACTAACTTATAAAAATTACATTCAGTGCGCTGTGCACACCCCTGTAAATGAAAGGAAAAAATACAAAAGCACATTCTTCTCAAAGATGTCTACCACCTCACAGGTCACCACAGTGTAGAGTACATACAGTGAAACCCGTTTCAAAAAGCTCTAACCTCCCCACCTCATGCTTTAACATGGATGGACCTTCAGGACACTGTGCTAAGTGAGATAAGCCTGTCACAGGGAGACAAACGCTGCATGAATACACTTACAACACCAAGCATCTGAAGCGGGCAAAGCCACAGACACAGGAAACACAAAGGTGGTTGCCAGCGGCAGGGGCACAGGGAAATGGGAGTCTGTGCTCCAAGGAGATGGAGTTCCACTTTTGCAAGATCACTCCAACTCAGGGTCTGTTGCCTGACAATGAGAATACAGTTAACATACTGAAAGGTCCACTTTGAAATAGCTCAGATGGTAAATTTCACATTCTGTGTTTTTTAACCCAGCTAGAGAATATTTACATCATTTTGTCGAAACACTACCAATTTTAGCTTTGTTTGAATTGTAGCTTTACCGTTTTGGAGAAACTATAGGCTTCAAGAGTGGAAACTGGAATTAGTTGGGATTTGGATACACTTCAGACCATTCTAATAAAAACTAGGGCAGCCACTAAGCGGTGACTGCAGCAAAACCACCCCAGGTGATGGCGATCACTTCCTTGTTTCTTAGTGGACACCATGGGGCTCTGCTTCCATACAACGCTCGTACACCTAACAATATAAAACACTGACCCCTTAACGAAAAAAGCAAGGTACAATGCAGACATCGTTTAGGTCGATGCCCATTTCTAAAGAGAGGGGGCAAGGAGTGCACAGTTCAGGATTTGGGAGGGGCTGGTGGGTCTCCCGTCGTATTACCTTTAAGCTGGCTGTCTTCCTCCAGGCCCTGTGGTGGCCCAGATGTCTCGGTACCTACTGTGGTCCCAGACATGGAGTGCTGCAAGATTCTCCACAGCACCTGCCGCTGGGGGTTCTGCTGCTGGGGCCCCTGCTTAGGAAGGCAAAATATGACAGGCATTCTGAGAAAAATACTTACACACAAACAGTCATTGCAACATTATGACCACCCAGGTCTTACCTGGTGGGGGTCAGCCGGAAGCAGCAGCATCTCCTGGGGATGCAGAGAGCCTCCCCTTCCATGGGGATCCATGACTGTAGTTAGCAAAGTGGTGGAGGCCGTTGCCTGAGTGGTTGAGGGTTGTGCGCTGGCACTCAGTGGGGCTGGCTGCCCGGGACCCGGAGCGTTGGAACTCGGTGGCACTGGCTGCTGGGGAGCAGGAGCTCTGGGTTGCTGCAACTGCTGCTGTAGAACCAGCTGATAGAGCTGCTGCTGCTGGGTGTTCAGAGGCATACTATATGGCCTCAACAGAATTACCTGCTTGAGACCTGGATCATTTATTAGGCGGTACTCAGCAGCTACCTGAGAAGGAGGCTGCGGTGCACTGGGTGCTGCATTTTGTGGACAAGCTTCTGAGGGTGGGATGTCAGGCTTGACTTCTGCAGGAGCCCAGGCCGGACAGCTGGAGCCCTGCGTGGATCTGGGACCACTCAGCACAGCCTGGTCTCCACCAACATGGCCACCTTCTCTAATGATGTTCCGACTGACACAGTTGGCGATGGCCTGGGTGGCAGGGACATTCTGTGATGAGCTGGTGCTGGGCAGGGTGGTGGCAAGAAGGTAGGTACCTTTATTCACTTCCACAGAGCTTTCCTGGGCACGAGCAGGAGCAGGAGCAGGAGGCTGAAGAGAGCTGCTGGCCTGCTGTGGAAGAAGACTGTTATGCGAGGAGCTCTGGCTGGAGCTGGAGGAAAGCATGATGCCTGGAGGTGGCTGTGTGACTTCCTCCCCCAGGACTGAAGCCTGAGCCACCACGGTCTCAGGTTGTTCTATGTCTCTCCCTGGGGAAGGTTGGCTGAGGCTGGCTGAGCCACTGGAGCTGTGGCACATCTGGCATGGACAACTGCCAAGGTTCTTCTGGACCAATTCCTTGGACTCACTGAACACTGAGTGCTCATTTTTGAAGTTCTGGAGGAAAGGCAGCTGTGTCTCACCTCTGACTTCTTTACCTGAACTTTCTTTTCCAGAGCTAACTGGATCATCAAGTGGCTTAACCGAGTCCAGCTCTGTTGTCTTGGACAGATTGCCTGATTCCCAGTCAAATGCAGAATAAAAGTCTTTGTCAAAGATTGGCCAGGTTGCTAGGTACGGGTCATCATTTTCTAAAAACTTCTCCAATTCTTCAGCATATTTCTCAACATCCGCTTCAGAAGTTACGTTCAAGTCACAGGGTTTCTGTTGCCACATATCTACACAATTTCCTGTATTAGAAATTAGGTCATTGTGCTCACCTGCTTCACTTTCATTGGTTTTGTGGCACAAAGGTAATGGTTTTAGCTCAGGAAATGATGGAAAAAGAGACAGCTCCTCCTGCCCACTCAGAGAGGGGCTACAACACCTCTTGATGCCCCTTTTCATTGGCCCTGTGGTCACCTCTGCTCCTGATATAGGAAGACCTAGGCACAGTGGTTCAGCGGTAGTTAAAAGCAGTTGGCTCTCACGTACAACTTTGTCTTGCTGGGTCCATTTCTGGTTCTCACTGGTTTTGGACGGTTGGTCACAGGCGAAAGTCTTCATCGTTGCGTGTAAGAGAACATACCTGCTTTGGTAACGAGTAAGCGCAAGGAAACTGGGAAATCTGTAGTCCTGTATTTCTGTTACCACACAGCCCCAGTAAAAAATGTTAATCTGAGAATCTTCCAGAATATCTTCCAAAATGGGAGGCAATTCTTCTCCATGTAAATAATCGAGTAATTCCCCTACCTCATAAGGCAGGTTAATGGTCTCCAAATATGACGAGCCCTTTTCCCCCTTGAGTATCACAGAATATCCCCCCTTTCCTGGGTATACGCTGACTAGTAAACACGCCAGCAACTCTTTCCTAACCAGCTTCTCCAACAAATTCACAATGTCTCTTAATTCCTCTGTAACCCCAGGCTCTTGTCCACCTCGTTCAACGTAAACGTTGTAAAGTTTCTCATAAAGAGATTTTCCCTCAGGAGACTGTTCCGTTTGAGGAGGTGTCTGCTGGGCACTGCCAGTGGCACACTCCACACCCTCCAAAGCTTGTTCTAAAGCTCGTTCCATTGTGGTAAAGAAGAGCAGCCCTGAAAGAAGAGAAAACGTAAGTGTGCCGAGGAACGGGCTGAAATCTTGTCTTAATATCGACCTATGGAGCCCATTCCCACTACAATCCTGAGAGAAGCGACCAGGCTTACCTCAAAATGGACCGCACGAAAACCGCCCTAAAGCAGCACTACACCAAATACTTGAAAGTTGTTGAAAGTCCACATATGGCGGCAGCAGCCATCACTCTGGGAGCAGTCGTCACGACCAACCGATCGCCGCTGCAGGCGGGACGAGAAAGAGAGGTGCGCCACCCCTGACGACTTCTCCACCCTGTGCAGCCGCCGTGCGCATGTGCACTCGTCATGCGCGGCAAGCGTCTGGCCTACGTGTCCACGCACTGCAGCATCGCGAGACCCGCAGCCCGTGCTTTTTGTGCCCGCGTTTCTCTCATGGTGGCTGTCCCGGGCTGAACCCTTTCTTCCCTGGTAACCTTAAAGGCATGCACGCCAAAACCCTACACACCAACCAAAATATACATTATCTTTCGATACTGTTTTAATTCATGACAGTTTTCACAGGAATGTGTTTGGCAAAGTCACGGAAGGCGGTCATTTCTTCCTTGGCGAGCACTTCACCGAGAAGTATTCACGGTTTCAGGGATCTTAGTCATCAGCGGCAGGGCTGCTCCTCGTGTCCATTACCAATTTAAGACACCCCAGAGAGTCCTTTTTGGGAGCTCTTGCCTACATGGAGGCTCGCTGTATTTGGTGAAAGCATCAGAAATCCTCCTCGAATCTTCCCGTCATCGCCTGCCTCAGGGTTTTCATAGAGATGTGCGTATAACATGGCATTCTTTTTTTTTGGTATCATTAATCTACAATTACATTAGGAACATTATGTTCACTAGGCTCCCCCCTTCACCACGTCCCCCCCCCACAAACCCCATTACAGTCACTGTCCATCAGCATAGTAAGATGCTGCAGAATCCCTACTCGTCTTCTCTGTGTTGTAGTGCCCTCCCAGTGCCCCCCCACTACACATGCTAATCGTAATGCCCCCTATCTTTTTCCCCGCCCTTATCCCTCCCTTCCCACCCATTCTCCCCAGTCCCTTTCCCTTTGGTAATTGTTAGTCCATTCTTGGGTTCTGTGATTCTCCGTCTGTTTTGTTCCTTCAGTTTTCCTTTGTTCTTATACTCTACATATGAGTGAAATCATTTGGTACTTGTCTTTCTCCACCTGGCTTATTTCACTGAGCATAATATCTTTGTTCTTATACTCCACAGATGAGTGAGATCCTTTGGTACCTGTCTCTCTCCACCTGGCTTATTTCACTGAGCGTAATATCCTCTAGCTCCATCCATGTTGTTGCAAATGGTAGGATTTGTTTCCTTCTTATGGCTGAATAATATTCCATTGTGTATATGTACCGCATCTTCTTTATCCATTCATCTATTGATGGACACTTAGGTTGCTTCCATTTCTTGTCTATTGTAAATAGTGTTCGGATAAACCTAGGGGTGCATATGTCTTTATCCAACTGGGCTGCTGCATTCTTAGGGTAAATTCCTAGGAGTGGAATTCCTGGGTCAAATGGTATTTCTATTTTGTGTTTTTTGAGGACAATAAACTAAATGTTTATTGTCATATGCCATAGAGTTTTGTGATTATTTGCTACCAGGCAAATGTTAACATATTAGCTAATATAATCCTCAAAATTATCCCTCAGGAAATCAGTAGAATGGATATCATTATCCTCACTTTACAGAGGTGGAAGTGAGACTTGGAGAAGTCAAATGATTTGATCACAGCCATATAGCAAGTGGGCAGGAGAGCATGATTTCAGAACCTAGGCTGGTGTGAGATTCTAGGGCTCTTTCCTCTGTGTCACTTGGTAAAGCTACCTTGAGGAATGGAGTTTTAAGGGCTTTAAGGGCATTCTTTTGGAAGCAAATGTTCAGTCAGTGTCCTAGGACAAACAGTTGCCGAGGGGCGTCTCTGGTGGGGCCACTGAGAGTGCAGCTGCTTCACCCTTCCTGCAGAGGAACTGCCAAACTAGGCCACATGTGTCATTACAATTGGTGTTTAGCCAGTATATTGTATTTCACTACTATAATTGGTAGTAGCCAGTCTATTTTCCATTCGTGAAGCCGTGACTATGTGCGTTCAACTCACGACTTATACTACAAAATGAAACGAACACATACTCATGTTCTTCTGAGTAAAGAACTACCCAGTTCATTTTAGAACAACAATGACCAAAGAAAATAAGAGTTACAGAATTGTAATTCAGGCCTACAGTTTGATAATGCAGGGCTGTTATTTTTTCTGAATGTCTTCCCTCAGGGGAAAATTATTAAAAAGAAGTATAAATTCTCCTTTGTACTGCCATGAAAGAACTCACATTTTCTTTAACTTAGAATATATCAACAACCACATTAGTTCAGACCTGGCAAATTGGCCAGGTCATATTAATCACAGGGATACTTCTTAAATTACAGACTGCTGGACCCTAACAGACCTACTTAATAGAAACATCCATGGGAGGAACCTGGGAATTTTTATTTTTAACAAGCAATCAGGTGATTCTTATGCTCAGCCAAGTTTGCATTTAGCTGATGCAGAGGGAAAGAAGGGTTTCAAATTGTGATTTTTAAAATGGTTAGTTCTAGTTCTGATCTTTTAAGAAAATCATTGTTCCCTGGCTCCTGATGTTCTCATCTGTGAAATGGGGCCATTAGACCAGGTGCTGTCTAGAAGAGGCAAACTGAGTAGAAGAGACAAGCTTTAAAGTATTGGTTCTGAATCCTGGTTGCACATCCTCTGGGAAGCTTTGGAAAGTGAAGGTTGTCCAGGCGCCATCTAGACCAATTAAACAGAATCTCTGGGGTCAGTTCCATGTGTTGCTAGTTTTAAAATCTCCCCAGGTGACTTTAATGAATAGCTATGGGTACAAACGTGTGCTCCAAAGGCTGACTCCAGTGGTCACCAGGTATGATTTTGGCTAGTCTCCCCATGTCTGTTTCCTTGGGGAGCATAACACCTATCTTATGTGGCACATAGCTCCTATTTATGGAGTGCCTACTCTGATGATCTTATGTCTTCCCTGTATTAAATCATCTGTTATAATTCAGGAGGAAAACTCAGATTAATGAAAGAAATTAAAAACATCCCTTACTTGCCAACACTAGGCAGAATAAGATGGGCCAGTGAACATTTTTGAAATGGGAGACTGTGCAGTGATTGGGGCAGCTCATTGAAGAGATCACTCTGAGTATGTGGTTCTTTCTAAAATGAATTCCAGGACAGTTTTTATGGGCCCTTGGTGTTTGGTCTGTGGATTTCCAAAGAATATTCACCAGTGATTTGAACTTTGGGTGGGCAGAAGATGCAGCAATGGGGATCTGTGCCTCACCACCCCTTCTTAGGTGACCAGTCCCCCAACATCCAGCAGGGCATTTTAAATTCAGAAATATTTCAAAGCCTTCATCTAGAAATCTTACTGATTAATCCAACAAATTATTCACTGTTGACAAGTTGAAAAGTTGAATGGCTTCCATTTCCTCTTAATTTCTATGGCAATGCTCTGAGGGGGAGATGAGCAGCAAAATGGCCAAATGGTAGGAACTGGGGGGTATGAGAGTCAAGGAGCATGAATAATTCACTACTGAGGGACCTCCCTGTGATAACTGAGAGGAGACCCCTTAAGAACTATACCCACAGCTGATAGGCCTAAGAAATGCATTGGTGTCAAGAAGCAGGGCTAGTCTTAGGTAAAAATGGTTGAAGTCCATATTCCTCTTACCCCATTTCTTTCCCTGCATGCCCTCCCACCCCCTGTCCACCACCAAATAACCCTTCAAGTGAATGTATTTTCTCTTCATAGGTCACTTTTATTTTTATCTATCCATTTATTTGACAAATATTTATTGAGCACTTACTATGCGCTAGGCAGTTTTAGGCACAAAATGGTGGCAGGGGGTATCCCTTTGCATGAGGACCTGAGCTCATGAAGTTCACATTTAAAGGGGGCAGACAATAAATGAAGTACATAAGAATGTGCTAAGAGCCAAAAAGAGAGAATCAAGCAATGAAAGGGGACAGAGTGCTGGGTAGAGGTGGTCAGTGAGGCATCACTGAGAAGGTGATATTCAAGCAAAGACTTGAAGGAGGTGAGGGAGCAAGCCATGTCGATATTACACGAAGAACGTTACAGGCAGAAGGAATAGCAACTGCAAAAGCTGGAGGTGGGGGCTGTGTTTGAAAGCAGTAAGGAGAACTCTGACCCATGTGTAACGAGGGCAGAGATGAGCAATGGAAGATGAGGATGGAGAGTGATGGAGAGGAACCAGGACTAGATCGTGTGGCTCTTGTAGGCCACTGGAATGAGGGTGAAATGGGAGCCCATTGGAGGGTTTTGAGCAGAGGGGTGGCATGACCAGACATGTCCTAACAGGCTTTCTCTAGATGTTGTGTGGAGCATCAAACACAGAGGGCAAGGGCAGAGGCAGGGAGACTAACTAGGCCACTGCAGCACAGAAGGTAACGGTGATGCCACCTCTGACTACACGAGTAGCTGTGGCCATGGCAAAGAATAGCTGGGTTCTGCATAGATTTTGCAGATAGAGCCTACAGAATGCACCAGCAGATTGGTTGCAGGGAAGAAGAGAAAGAACAGAGTCAAGAATGATTCCAAGGTTTTTGGCCTGAGCAATGGGAAGGATGGGGTTGCCATTAACTGAGATGGGGAAGACCATGCCAGTGGGTTTAGACTGGACCTATGTTTCCTAGAATCCCTTCCCCTGTGGGGTTCTGGATGAGGGCTAGCAAAAAGAGAAGTTTTCATGAGATTTGCAAGGTGCACATGAAGCAGCAGCCACTACTCTCTGAAGGTTGGTGCAGGAAGCCAGGCATCACTGCAGTTCACACATATGACCACAGATCTACTGGCTCCCCTTGTTGGGGGTGGGGGGTTGGCAGCAGCTGGGCCCACCGCTCCTCCAATTCCCACTGGATCTC